TACGTTTTTTCTGCACATGCAGAGAGACAGCTGTTTATAAGTTCCAAAAAATGTTGTTGGCTCTTCCAGGACCCAAAGACTGGGTAGAGCCCTCTGACATACACTATATTGCCAAAAGTATTGGGACACCCTTCCAAATCATTGGATTCAGGTGTTCTAATCACCTCCATGGCCACAGGTGTACAAAATCAAGTACCTAGTAATGCAGACTGCGTCTACAAACATTTGTGAAAGAATGGGTCGCTCTCAGGAGTTCAGTGAATTCAAGCGCGGTACCGCGATAGGCTGTCCAACTGTGAAAATTTCCTTGCTACTAAAATATTTCACGGTCAACTGTTTGTGGTATTACAACATAAGTGGAAGCAACTGGGAACAACAGCAACTCAGCCACAAAGTGACAGGCCACATAGAATGACAGAGGGGTAAGCGCATGCTGAAGCACACGGTGCGCAGAAGTCACCAACTATCTGCAGAGTCAATAGCTAAACACCTCCAAACTTCAAGTGGCCTTCAGATTAGCACAATAGAGTGTAGAGAGATTCATGGAATGAGTTTTCATGGCCGAGCAGCTGCATCGAAGCCTAACATCACTAAGTGCAATACAAAGCATTGGATCCAGTGTTGCCACTGGACTCTAGAGCAGAGACGTACTCTCTGGAGTGATGAATCATGCTTCTGTCTGGCAACCCGATGGACACGTCTAACTTTGGCACTTACCAGGAGAACAGTGCTTGCCTGACTACGTTGTGCCAAGAATAAAGTTTGGTGGAGGGGGGATTATGGTGTGGGGTTGTTTCTCAGGGGTTGGGCTTGACCCCTTAGTTCCAGTAAAGGGAACTCTTAAAGCATCAGCATACCAATACATTTTGGAGAATTTCATGCTCCCAACTTTGTGGGAACAATTTGGGGATGGCCCTTTCCTGTTCAAAAATGACTGCGCACCAGTGCGCAAAGCAAGGTCCATAAAGACATGGATGAGCGGTTTCAGTTTGGGGTGGAGGAACGTGACTGGCCTGCACAAAGTCCTGACCTCAACCCGATAGAACACCTTTGGGATGAATTAGAGCAGAGTATAGTATATCTGTTTATGCGCCATAACTCCTCTTTAACCATTTGCCGCCCACCCTATGGCCAAATGGTGGCCTGGCAAATGTCATCAGCGTTCCGGGTGGACGCCATATGGCGTCCTCCTGCACATGCGCAGACTGCACTCCTGCAGAGTCGCGCAGCGGCACGATCTGTCACCGGCCGTGTACCTCGGACATGGCCAATGACAGATCTGAGTACCGGCCCCCGTTGCCGGTACCATGTGACCTGCTGTGACCAATCACAGCAGGTCATGTGACAGTTGTATACAATGGACGGCTTCATTCATGCCATCCACTGTATACTAGTGTTTAGCTGTGAATGGTCACAGCTAATCACATGCACATGTCATGTGATTAGCTGTGGCCAAATCACAGCTAAGCACAAAAAAAAACAAAAAACAAAAAAAAAAAACAAAAAAAAAAAAAAACCCTGAATGAATCGATTTCATTCAGGTAAATGCTTGCTTATAGCAAAGTAATTCTTTGCTATAAGCAAATTGTGTAAAAAAAACAAAAAAAAAAAAACAAAAAACTGATCACTTCCCCAAAGTAGTACAATGTTACTATGGTAACATTGTACTACTTTGGTCATACTGAAATATGAAAAGAAAGAAAAAAAAAATAAAAAAATAGTGAAACTAATTTTAAATTTAACCGTTTCAATACCGTGCAATTTTACACCTTCCTGCCCAGGCCATTTTTTCAGGTTTCAGTGCTCTCACACTTTGAATGACAATTGCGCGGTCATACAACACTGTACCCAAACTAAAATTTTATCATTTTCTTCACACAACTAGAGCTTTCTTTTGGTGGTATTTAATCACCGCTGGGGTTTTTATTTTTTGCTAAATTAACAAAAAAAGACCAAAAATTTTGAAAAAAAAAAAAAACATTTTTCTTTGTTTCTGTTATAAAAGTTTACAAATAAATAATTGTTCTTCATAAATTTAGGCCGAGATGTATTCTGCTACATGTCTTTGGTGAAAATAACCCAAATTAGGATGTATTTTTTAGTTTGTAGGAAAGTTATAGAGTTCACAAACTATGGTATAGATCTGAAAATTGATCAATCCTGAAGTACTGACAGCCAATCTAATTTCTTGAGGTCCAAGAATGTCAGAATAGTACAGATATCCCCAAATGACCCCTTTTTGCAGAGTAGACAGTCCGACGTACTTCATAAGAGGCATGGCGAGTTTTTTGAAGTTGTATTTTTTTCTCATTTTTCGGAAAATGAAAAAATTAAAAAAATTATTTTCACTATTTTATTTTTACATACTGTCACCAGTGCAGTACAGCGTCGTCATATAACTGGCATGGCGGTGAACAGGGACACTGACTGGTGACAGTATGAAAAAAAAATATATATATATCTTTTTTTATTATATTTAATTACATTTTTTTTTATTTTTTTTTAAGATTTTTTTTTCATATTTTACTATGACCAAAGTAGTACAATGTTACCATAGTAACATTGTACTACTTTGGGGAAGTGATCAGTATTTTTTTTTTTTTTTTTTTTTTTTTTACACAATTTGCTTATAGCAAATAATTACTTTGCTATAAGCAAGCATTTACTGTACCTGAATGAAATCGATTCATTCAGCTTTTTTTTTTTTTTTTTTTTGCTTAGCTGTGATTTGGTCACAGCTAATCACATGACATGTGCATCTGATTAGCTGTGACCATTCACAGCTAGGCACTAGTATACAATGGATGGCATCATGAATGAAGCCATCCATTGTATACAACTGTCATGTGACCTGCTGTGATTGGTCACAGCAGGTCACATGGTACCAGCAACGGAAGCCGGTACTCGGATCTGTCATCGGCCGTGTCCGAGGTGCACGGCCGGTGACAGATCGCACTGCTGCGCCGCTCTGCATTAGCGCAAACGGCGCATGTGCGGGAGCACGCCAAATGGCGTGCACCCGGAATGAAGAGACACTTCTGAAGCCGCCAACCACCATTGGCCGGGCGGCTAATGGTTAATTTTCCGAAAAATGACGACAAAAAAAAAAAAATACAACTTCAAAAAACTCGCCATGCTTCCTATGAAGTACGCCGGACTGTCTACTTTGCAAAAAGGGGTCATTTGGGGGATATCTGTACTGTTCTGACATTCTTGGACCTCAAGAAATTAGATTGGCTGTCAGTACTTCAGGACTGATCAATATTCAGATCTATACCATAGTTTGTGAACTCTATAACTTTCCTACAAACTAAAAAATACATCTTAATTTGGGTTATTTTCACCAAAGACATGTAGCAGAATACATCTCGGCCTAAATTTCTGAAGAACAATTATTTATTTGCAATCTTTTATAACAGAAACAAAGAAAAACGTGTGTTTTTTTTTTCAAAATTTTTGGTCTTTTTTGTTAATTCAGCAAAAAATAAAAACCCCAGCGGTGATTAAATACCACCAAAAGAAAGCTCTAGTTGTGTGAAGAAAATGATAAAATTTTAGTTTGGGTACAATGTTGTATGACCGCGCAATTGTCATTCAAATTGTGAGAGCGCTGAAACCTGAAACATGGCCTAGGCAGGAAGGTGTAAAAGTGCCCGGTATTGAATTGGTTAAATCTCAGGTGGAAGGAAACTCAGGATCAGAGTATTTTGTACCTTATAGATTATGAAAATATAAAAACAACTCTTCTATAATACCTCCAACTTTCAGCCAGCTTCATTTTTATAGCAAACAATAGGGTGTGGGGATAGGTCAGGAAGGAACAGAGGTGAAGAACCTGTATCCTGTACTGTAAAAGGGAGGAACCAGATGTTGTGCCACAGCAGCAAGGGAAGGACAGATCTGAAATCAGAGGTGACTGGAAGGTTGTCGCTTCTGGACCTAAATCAGTGCAGAGATGATAGTGCCCAAATCACTTTCAATGGAAAGCCGACATTTGGATGAACAGATGTACAGACTCAGTTATAGGGCTGTGCTGCCACTGAGGTAGCACTTACATCTCTGGCAGCAAAACTGTTAAAGGGGATGAGTGCTACTTACTGAGGAATATCTCTTTAGTAGCAGAGTGGTAATAAGAAGGACAAGCCCACATTCTGGCTTCACCCTCCTGGATGGGCCTTCCCCTGAAGGGGTCATCAAAAACATGCCTCCATCTGCTGATGCATCTGCATAACACCCTGTGGCTAACTTAATGAGATGCAGGTCATGCCAAGGTGAGTGTCAACACAGGATCCAGTGCACAAAGTGACATTACAGGCCGACCCTGCATTTTTCAGGTGGGGTCAAGGTACAGTCCCCCAAGGCTCAGCTGAGAAGTCAACTGATCCAGAAAACTAAACCGGAAAGCCGCTGTGGACATTAAGCAACTACAGCTTGATAGAAGAATCGTGCTGAAGAAAGCTTTAACAAAAAAGTGGGAAGTTCACTCAAGAGAACGTCAATCTAACAACACTAGGAAAAAACTAATGCTAGCTGGGAGTAGGAAAGGTTATAAAGTGGAAGTCCCTGCAGTATTTTTTTTTTGCCAATGTCCAATCACCTAAATCACCTTTATTCCATGGCTATGACTATGAATTCTGTGCCATGTACTGCAGGATTAAGAAAAGAATATATGGCTTCTGGTCAAGCCATAACCTTTGGTTTTACCCAGAAGAGTGCTAAAATGTTGGCAGTAAACCACAGGTATCAAAAGATAATGCTGAATAGTCAAAAAGGAGTGACCCTTACCAAAGGCCACAGGTTAGGACATATGACAACATCAACTTATATGAAAAGGCTCAGTTGAGTAACCAGGCAAGCCAGAATATAGACATGAAGTTGAATAATATTAATGCCACTTTCATAACCACAGTATATCAAGAAGCAACATGCATTTCCACTGTAAACACTGGTTGGATTCAGATTATGCTTGCCTACCAGAAGACAAACAACAATGCACTTACAGTTCATAAGATAATTTCTTAGTCTGACTTTCCTGCAGTTCCTTGAATTCCAGTTTAGACTCCTCCAAATGTCTTTGAAGAGTGCTGATTTGTACTGTAAAAAGTAAAAGAGTAAAATCTGAAAAATAGCAAATATAGAATGGTCATGACCCCCTCCCCCAATCCTTGGCAATTATAACTTATTATAGGCTCTGAACAAAAATGTCTAACCCATGTGCACATACACTACAGTGGATATAAAAAGTCTACACACCTCTGTTAAAAATATCAGGTTTCTGTGATGTAAAAAAATAAAGACAGACAAAGATAAATAATTTCAGAACTTTTTCCACCTTTAATGTAACCTATAAAACTGTACAATTCAGTTGAACAAACTGAAATATTTTAGGTGGAGGGAAGTAAAAATAAAAAAACTAAAATAATATGGTTGCATAAATGTGCACACCCTTAAACTAATACTTTGTTGAAGCACCTTTTGATTTTATTCCAGCACTCAGTCTTTTTGGGCATCAGTCTATCAGCATGGCACATCTTGACTTGGAAATATTTGCCCACTGTTCCTTGCAAAAACACTCCAAATCTGTCAGATTGCAAGGGCATCTCCTGTGTACAGCCCTCTTCAGATCACCCCACATATTTTTGATAGGATTCAGGTCTGGGCTCTGGCTGGGACATTCCAAAACTTTAATCTTCTTCTGGTGAAGCCATTTCTTTGTTAATTTGGATGTATGCTTTGGATCGTTGTTATGCTGAAAGATGAAGTTCCTCTTCATGTTCAGCTTTCTAGCAGAAGCCTGAAAGTTTTGTGCCAATATTGACTGGTGTGTGGAACTGTTCATAATTCCCTCTACCTTGACTAAGGCCCCAGTTCCAGCTGAAGAAAACCAAACAGCCCCAAAGCATGATGCTGCCACCACCATGCTTCACTGTGGGTATAGTGTTCTTTTGGTGATGTGCAGTGTTGTTTTTGCACCAAACATATCTTTTGGAATTATGGCCAAAAAAGTTCAACCTTGGTTTTATTAGACCATAACACATTTCCCACATGCTTTTGGGAGACTTCAGATGTGTTTTTGAAAAATTTAGCCGGGTTTGGATGTTTTTCTTCATAAGAAAAGGCTTCAGTCTTGCCACTCTACCCCATAGCCCAGACATATGAAGAATACGGGAGATTGTTGTCACATGTACCACACAGCCAGTACTTGCCGGATATTCCTGCAGCTCCTTTAATGTTGCTGTAGGCCTCTTGGCAGCCTCCCAGACCAGTTTTCTTCTTGTCTTTTCATCAATTTTGGAGGGACGTCCAGTTCTTAGTAACGTCACTGTTGCGCCATATTTTCTCAACTTGATGATGATGACGACTGTCTTCACTGTGTTCCATGGTATACCTAATGCCTTGGAAATTCTTTTGTACCCTTCTCCTGACTGATACCTTTTAACAATGAGATCCCTCCGATGCTTTGGAAGCGCTCTGCGGACCATGGCTTTTGCTGTAGGATGCAACTAAGAAAATGTCAGAAAAAACCTACTAGAACAGCTGAACTTCATTTGGGGTTAATCAGAGGCACTTTAAATGATGGCAGGTGTGTACTGACTTCTATTTAACATGATTTTGGATGTGATCGCTTCATTCTGAACACAGCTACAGCCCCAGTCATAAGAGGGTGTGCACACTTATGCAACCACAATCTTAGTTTTTTTATGTGTACTGGCGGATTGCAAGACAGAAGCGCGATTGGTCACTCCAGAGAACACATCTTCACAGTCCAATGGCGATGTGCTTTACACCACTGCATCAGATGCTTTGCATTGCACTTGGTGACTTAAGACTTGGATGCAGCTGCTCGGCCTTGGAACTCAATTCCATGAAGCTTTCTACGAACTGTTGTGCTAATCTGAAAGCCACACACAGTTTGGAGGGCTTTAGCTATTGACTCTGCAGACATTTGGTGACTTCTGCGCACTGTGCGCTTCATCATGCACTGACTCTCTCAGCACTTTGTGGCGAAGTTGCTGTTCCCAGTTGCTTCCACTTTGTTATAATACCACTAACAGTTGACTGTGGAATATTTAGCAGCAAGGAAATTTCATGGATGGACTTATGGCACAGGTTGGAAACCTATCACGGTACCATGCTTCAATTCACCGAGCTCCTGAAAGTGACCCATTCTTTCAGAAAATGTTTGTAGAAGCAGTCTGCATGCCTAGGTGCTTTTTTTTTTTTTTTTTTTTTTTCATTAAGGTACTTGATTTTGTGCACCTGTAGCCATAGTGGCGATTGGCACACCTAAATCCAATGATTTGGAGGGGTGTCCCAAATCTTTTGGCAATATAGTGTGTGTATAGTACACATTTGTGAGATCACAGTGATTATTAATGTATTAATGTGTTTATTCACATTTTATTAGAATAAAAAGGTGGTTGCACTGCTGTAAAGGATACCAAATGAAGGTATCCAGCCAGGATGACCAGATCAGTGGGCTGTATCTTAAGAAATCAGGATCCAGGCTGAATAAGATTAAATAAAATTTATTAGCATACATATCACTCTTCCAACACCAGCACCAATAAACCGTAAACAATGCAAAGTGACAAAATAAACAGGATCATGCAGCAATCCAAACAACGACCTAAGTACAAATGGAGGGAGTACACATAAGAAGGGCAAGGTCAGGACTGAGACAGGAAACAAGGGGAGCAGAGCAGGATACAGGGTACTGGATGCAGGGTAGCAGGTCACAGGAACAAGGCACAGGATCAGGCAGGGACACAGCTCACATGAAGAACACTGAAGCATTGGACCTCAGTTATGGGCGGGCTTAAATACTGCCCAGTAGCCCATGTCAGGTGCAACTGAATTACTTGGAAAGCCTGGCTGCTGAGAGACAACCACTGGTGGCCACCGGAACTGAACCCCTCGACTCCAGGAACAGTGCCACCAGCAGGTGACCCAGGTACTGACAAGTCCTGACAGCAGCACTTTACTTATACTTTTTTGATGTGGGAACACAAACGTAGTGCTATTTCGGCAACCGGGCCATCTTTTAAATAGCGTCATCATGACTGGTGTGTCGGGGATCAGGAATACTGACAGTTGACAGAATGTAAAATAAAAAACTTTTTTATTATATAATTTTAGTGTCCATTTAAACAAGGAAAATTAAATAACAAAAACATGCCCAGCCTATAGTAAAATGAGGGCCAGGCGGGATCTCTCCCAATCTGGGTGGATGTCATGTGACATCCTCTCCAGAACGCTCCACATGTGTGCCCCACAGGCCATGCTGCAATTTGTCACCTGATATGTCCACCGTATGACATGACATTAGTGTACCAGTCTGCTGCTGGTTCCCTGCTGACAGCTAAATGTAAAAAATTGCCGGCAAGAATAAATGTATGGAAAAAGAAAAAAAACAAACACACACCAAACTGTGTTGGGGTTTACCCCCTTAAATCCATACCAGGCCCTTTGGGGCTTGGTGATGTCACAACAGTGTGAGGTCACCCGATGGCTCCGCCCTTAATTTACTGTAAGTGAGCTACCAGACGGTGGGAGCCTTTTTTTTTTGGGTCAGGCGGTGGCGGTGGGGCATCATGATTGACGATGGATCAAAACCTACCGGGGGACTTTTTTTTGTTTGTTTAATGTTTTAAATATATGGACTTGTCAAAAAACTTGTGCTGTGTTTTTTATTTTACTTTTAAACTACTGTATGAGCTACCAGACGGTGGGAGCCTTTTTTTTGGGTCAGCGGTGGGCGGTGGGCATCATGATTGACGATGGATCAAAACCGGGGGACTTTTTTTTTTGTTTGTTTACTTTGGATGTTTTAATAATGGACTTGTCAAAAACTTGTGCTGTGTTTTTTATTTACTTTTTAAACTTTTTTTTGTGAACGAGTAGGGGGGTATTATGCAGTTTATTTATATATATATATATATATATATATATATATATATATATATATATATAAAAAAAACAGCGCACAATTTATCCTTCAATCCCTGCACAATAGATCTACATATGATCTCACCAGATTCTTCATATCAAGCACAAATTGTATATAATTCAGCTGATGACGCATCTGTTAAGGACATGGTGGCTGGCTTCATGGCCCTCTCCTTAACCAGTGGGAAAAAAAAAAAAAAAAAAAAAAAAAAAAACTCTGCTAAATGCTGGGCACCAGTGTTTAGCAGAATTTACAGGAGTTTAGGAGCGGTCAGTATTTTTTTTGCCAAAATGCTGCTGCTCCAAAACGCACTGACAGAGGATATTTTTTCTACCACTAAACTTTCCTGCAAGAAAATGCTACCTATGTGTGCACGAACACATAGGATAACATGCAGAGGAGTTTAGAGGCAGTTAAAAACACACACACACACACACACACACACACACACACACACGTCTGATGCCCAAGGTACACTTGCTGCTATGACAACTAAGAGGACATTATTCGTACATTGGAAAGATACATGCGCGCCCCGGCAATCAGTGGTGCGCTGTGTCCCTGGGACACAGTGGATCACAGATCGCAGTAAAGCGCTGATGACGAAGGCTCTATCATCTGATCAGCCATGTCCAATCACAGCTGATCGCATGTAAATAGGAAATGCTGGTTATCAGCAATCCTCTCCTCATGCTGACAGAGCGAGAGGAGAGCTGGTAATCGGTATTGCTCAGAGATGACATGTACACTGATCATTAGGACACTGATGATCAGTGTCCTGATGATCAGTGTAGCCCATCAGTGCCATCTGTCAGTGCCCATAATTGCCATCTACCAGTGCCCATCAATGCCACACATCAGTGCCCATCAGAACAGCCTTTCAGTGCCAACTATCAGTGTCATCTATCAGTGCCCATCATTGCCGCCTATCAGTAATGCCTGTCAATGCCAAACAGTGCCTCCTCATCAGTGCAGCTTATCAGTGCCAATCACTGCGGCCTCATTAGCACACAACAGTGAAGGAGAAAAATGATCTATTTACAAACATTTTATGACAAAGAAAAAAACTTTTTTTTTTCTTCAAAATCTTCAGTCTTTTTTAGTTTTAGCAAAGAATAAAAAAAAAAAAAAAAAAAAAAAAACACTGGTGATTAAATACCACCAAAAGAAAGTTCTATCAGTCTCAAAAAAGGATAAAAATGTTGTTGTTTGGATATAGTGTTGCATGACCGTGCAATTGTCATTCAAATTGCGAAAGTGCTGAAAGCTGAAAAATTGCCTACCGGGCACTTCCACCCCCTTCCTGCCCAGACCAAGTGGTTAAAAGTATAAAATATATATAAACTCAAACGATGGACTTTTTACTTGCGTCCTTTGGTCAGCTAAATGTACTACTACATTTGGTTATATTTGATTGAAATGTTAGGGGGTGTTTTTCAAAATGATTTCTCAGCAAAATAAAGCATGGAGATATAGATGGATGGGTGAGTTTGCTTTAAATATTAAAAATGAATTAAATTGCTTTTTTGGTTTGTGATTCTCAGAAGCAGTTCAATTTGGGGGAAAAAATATTGGGAAATGTGTATGCATTGCTGTGCTGTATATATACACACACACACGGTATAAATATTTTTGAATGTAGACATACACTCTAACCCTCCCCTACTCTATCCAAAACAAACAAAACAAGGGCTTTGGATAAAACTAACTTTTAGGATTATAAAATTGATAAATCATACAAAAAAGCTAAAATAAGGAGCATTTTCTTTTGGTATGTATGTACACTTAGTAGTGCAATATAGAGTTTGCATGCTGCAACCGATTGACATCATAGCTTAACACTGTACATTATATTTAGAATTAAAGCATTGTTTCCATGGTGCAGTGCGAGTCTCTGTTGACTTATAACAAGGGATTTCCTCTGTACTCCAGTGTTTTGAGACGGTTTCTGTGTTACATAGTGTGCGTCTGTTCACTATCACAGTTTGATTTATGCAAGCGACTTACTTTTCTTCACTGTAGTGGTTTAAGCAATGCTTGTGTTTGCAGTGTGGCACCTGCATTAGCTGTAAAATAAGGTCTTCAGATAAGAAGTTGATAATACAGCTTAAAGGCTGCAGTTATCATGATGGGAGATTTTCAATGGGCTGCACAGAGAAAAAAAAAATAAAAAAGGAAAAAGAAGGTCGGGTTCTCAGGGCTCACTGAATTCTAAGTTTTTTGCCTGCACCGAACAGTGACTGCATTCATAGCACAGGCTTCTCCTCGCAGTCACCTCTTTCCACCTGCCCAAGAACTTCCTGCTGGCACTCACACATTGATCTGGATAAGCTGTAAGCAAAATGTCAACAAAAGACTAGAGCCAAGCTGGATCTATTTCATAGTACATAAGGATCAATCTGACACTATGATAAGAAGATACATAGGCAGCAGCCCATTAAAAGAAGTCAAATCCTTTTAGCTAGAGTTGAACAAGTGTCTCACTGAAAGTCACAAGTGTTCAGATCTGACAACGTCTCTTACAATGGGTTGATAAAGAGACAATTATTCACTGAAATGCACATATGCAAGAAAAACAGGGAAAAGGCAGACAGTTCATATCCTATTTTTTTGTTTCTTTGCAATTCAGAAAACATTGCTCTGTCACCCATCTATATGGTTATACTCAAAATAAATGTTTTAGACTCCAGCAATGCATTGGTAACTTATATTGTATACTTGTTGTTCCTATATATTAAATTGCTTTGTATAGTGCCAATAACAATGCTGATCCTACATACAAAAAAATGACAAACAGGATTTATGAATTAACATTATAGTAATGTACAGATATTAGTGCAAACACCAACAAATGCTTTGTATACCTTGAAGATTCTGTATGAGGTAGTCCTTGCTCGTAAGGTTGTTTAACAGGCTTTCCTGTGAAAAGACAAGCATTCACATTACAGAAAATAAAATACCTAAAAAGAAACCATTAAAAATGGCGCCTGGCACAAAATCGCTGGCCCTATTTCAGAAGCCTTTGGTGGAAGCCACCATCCCTCAAATTATAAGCATTATACCAATCCAAGAACAATGAATTCAAGCCTTTTCAGCTTCACTGTGAATCAAGTTATTGAGCAGCGACCAGTATACGCTACATAAACATTTCCACTAAAAGCTTCTAAGGATCATTTTAGCCATGATATACTGTTAAAAATGATGGCATTTATATAATTCTAAAGCAAGACATAATGCTTTAACAATACTTGTTTAGGACTAGGCTTATGCATCCACATTTTAGTTTGCAATGTGACAAATGAAAATATTGCCAGCAAACGGTTAACTCTGGTAGCAGACATGATAATAAAACCTTACACAAGGTATAGAACTACTTGCTATAATCATCCAGCTTTCAGAAAACAAGTCTGTCAGTGGAGTACAAAATAAAAGACAGTATTCTAAGCTATGTTAGCTTGCTGCTTTACAAAAAGGGCAATATTGGAACCTTTAAACCGACTCCACAGAGAGTCGCAAGTATGCAAGGTTGAATGGCTCACTCATTTGAACTACTTCAATCCATTCATTGGCCAGGTTGGAAAAAGATTGTGGAAGTCCAGTGAAACTTTTGTCCTTTTTTCAGAGAAAAGGGCACAATTGACATCAAAGTGTTTAGTAAATTTATCAGAAAGTCTAATAAGCACTATCAGTGCATTTTTATAAACCCCACATACTATTTGTATATACATGGTGTGCACAATTAGGCAAGCAAGCATTTTGACCAAATCCAAATTTTTATGCATATTGTCCAACTCCAAGCTGTAGAAACTTGAATGCTTGTTGGATTTACACATATCAGGTGTAGTGTATTTGTGTAATGAGGGAGGGTGTGGCTTAAGGGGATCAACACCCTATAGCAAATATAAGGTATTTATAGTGCCACGCTCCTATTTATAAACATATATATCTCTATATCCAATCTGTACTCATTCTGCTTAATTAATAATTATATAAATCAAATGTGAATCATAATGATAAGTGGTATTCCATAAACTAATATGATTAAGTAATTATCAATATATTGCCAATACACACGTAAAAAACCTAAATTCATGTGATAAATAATAATCAATATAGGACCTTGATATAATGTGAATGATAAATAATAAATACAAATATTAACCTGCAGAAAGATATATACACAACATTATATAAGGTAATTTGATATTCAACAAAAGTAGCAATAGGAGAGATGGAATACAGCTGACCCGAGTAGCAACGTCTGACACAGATTTATCCCTGCACTCAAGTGGTTCCGTATGGATAGACACGGAGTTGCAGCTAAAGTTAAATAAAATCACTTAGAAAATGGCCGCCGCGCCCATGTGGGCTTCATAAAGATGGCGGCCGAGAGCGATATATATATGGGCAAGGACAAGTCGTGGCATCCAATCATTATCCCCCTGATGAAGTCACGTGACCCTGTGATGCAACGCGTAGGGGAGGGGCTCTGACGTCACGACGTTGCAGCGGAGAGGCTCGGCGATTCCAAACGCAGACAGAGGCAGGCAGGGAGAGCAGAGGTAGAGGATTGCTTCACCCACAATTGACTGTGATATTTATGCCGCCCTGGACTACCAAGGAACTGTATATCGCTGTGTATTATCGCTACAAGCAGAAATAAATTTCCACTATTTAAAAGGATAAGGCACCATGGTTTGTGTTTCTTTTCTCTACATCTGACCCTAATATTCCACATGGGTGAGAGGAGGAAATGAGAAGGAGATGACCCTGGAGGGGAATAAGGAGATAGAGCTGGTCTGAATATCGGTGTATGAGAGCAGTTGCAAAAGGAGAAAGAGGAAAGTACAGGAGTACCTACATCCATACCCTGGTACATCTTAAAACAGAGTATTAATCCACCGATCCTGGAAGGATCAAAAAGTCTATTTGCCTGAATTTTACTCAGGCAAATATAAAGGTGAGCGCATAGGGAGACCATAAGGCACCTGGCAAGGGAATAAGGAATCACCTGCACTTTGGCACTTGTTTATAAAGACTTTATTTATTCATTTATGATTACACTAATGCACGTGCACATTGGAATATATTCTTGCACAAATATTGCTGGAGTGATCACATATAATTAGAGTGGCACTAATTATATATATATTTGTATTTATTATTTATCATTCACATTATATCAAGGTCCTATATTGATTATTTATCACATGAATTTAGGTTTTTTATGTGTGTATTGGCAATATATTGATAATTACTTAATCATATTAGTTTATGGAATACCACTTATCATTATGATTCACATTTGATTTATATAATTATTAATTAAGCAGAATGAGTACAGATTGGATATAGAGATATATATATTGTTTATAAATAGGAGCGCGGCACTATAAATACCTTATATACTGATCTGACACTACCAAGTGAGTTTGTGTAAGTGCCAGCGCACCAAACAGGAACAGTAAATAATTGTTTAACACCCACTGAATGCTTCATTCATAATAGCTCACAAGGATTCACAATATACACAACACCCTATAGCAAGGTGTACCTGAGAAACCACTGAGTGGAGGCTGATGGCGGCAGCAAGGTGCGGCAGGGTTTTTCAGCATCTGTACCGATGCTTTTTTTCATATCGGCCAAAAGGGGTGTTTTCGGCCGAAACATTTCGGCCACCAAGATTTTGGTGCATCCCTGTCCAGAACGGAAACCTACCTGGAATGCCCAGAAGTACAAGGTGTTCAGTGCTCAGAGACATGGCCAAGGTAAGAAATACTGCAAATTGAAGGGAAGGACTGCAAATTGAAGGGACGGACCTACAAAAGGTGATATTCTCTGAACTATTACCTGTGCCATGCGCAACTCAAGAAAGATAGGGGGAGATTAGAGAACTAAATGCATGGCTAAAGACCTGGTGTAAGTGGGAAGGATTTGGGTTTCTACTTGTCATTGGGGTGCAACCTATATGCTAGAGATAGTCTGCACCTAAATGAAGGGGGTCTGCTGTGCTGGGGGAGGTTTATGGGCAGGCTGGAGGAGTATTTAAAAACTAGGATCAAGGGTGGAGGGAGAATTATATTATAATGGGGCAGACAGATCAGACAGGGGTCAATGCTTATTGGTGGGTGGAAATGGGGAAAGGGGGGGGGGGGGGGGGGGGCTATGGCAGATAAGAAGGTTCCATGTTACAAACAACCATTGGAATTGGTACCATTCGTATGAAAATAAAGTGTTTGTTCACCAGTGCCAGAAATCTGCCAAGCAAAATAGGTGAGTTGGAAGCTTTGGTGCATGAACAGAACTATTATTTAATTTGTATTGCTGAATCTTGGCTTCATTCTTCACATGACTGGGCCATTAATATTCCTGACTATGTTCACTTTGAGTTACAGGGTAAAACAAAGGAAAGGTGGTGGTGTCAGTCTATGTGAGAAGTAATCTCAGAGCAAGTGTGAAAGAGGACCTAGTTGATGGAGAGTGTGATGAGGCTAAAGCATTATGTGTGGAACTGCACATGGGGGTGCCTACAACAAAAAGGTAATCACTGGAGTTTGTTATAGGCTTCCCAGTGTTAATGAGGAGGTGGAAACGCAGCTCCTTGCACAGATCGAAAAGGGCTGGGACAGTGATAAAAATGGGGGATTTTAAACTGCCCGGAAATTGACTGGAGGAATAATGGTACTGCAGGAACAGTTAAAAAGGGCAAAAATGTAAAAACCTACTACAGGCCATTCTTTTGGTACAGTTCATAGAGGCCCCAACTAGGAATGTTAATCTCAAACCATCTGGGTAGAAGTGACCAGAACACGATTTAATTTATTGTTAGCTGTAAACAGCAAGCACATACGGGAAAAATTTATTAAAAAATGCTCAACTTTAAGAGAGCTAATTTTCCAAAGCTGAGGGATGCTCTCCAAGACTTCGACTGGGAGGGAATATTGGCATTGATGAACATAACACAGAAATGGGGAGTTCAAAAAGACTGTATGTGAACACACTGCAAAATATATTCCCATGGGCAACAAGTTTAAAAGGATAAAAATTAAACCTATGTGGCTTACGGCCAAAGTTAAAAAAGCTATAGATAAGAAAAGAGCTTAAATTAAATCTAAAAATGAAGGAACGCCATCTTCCTTTAAACATTACAAAGAATATAACAGAATATGCACAAAAAAGAAATAAGACTACAAATATTGAAAACGAACGACAGATTGCAAAAGATAGGATAAACCCCCCCCCCCCAAAACAAAAAAAAAAATTCTTCAAATATATTAACAGTAAAAAAGGTCCGGTCCGCGCATTTAGGTCCTTTACAAAATAATCTAGAGTGGGCGATTGGGGACAAAGAGAAGGCAAATATATTAAATACCTTCCACAGCTCTGTGTATACAAAAAGGAGCATGGGGGAACTCTTGTCCATAATGGGCATGGCATTGACACAGCTCCAGATGATCCACATTGGCTCACAATTGATATGATCCAGAAATATTTAGACCTTGACTGGATGGCATACACTCACGGGTCCTTACAGAATTGAGCTCTCTCATTTTAAAGCCATTGTTTCTATTTTTTTAGGGACTCTTTAATGACTGACGTAAGGCCAATGTGGTGCCTATATTTAAAAAAGGGGTCAAAATCTTTATCAAGTAAATTATAGACTTGTTAGTTTAACTTCTATAGTTGGGAAGATACTGGAGAGTTTAATAAAAGACCACATACAGTCAGGTCCATAAATAATGGGACATCAACACAATTCTAACATTTTTGGCTCTATACACCACCACAATGGATTTGAAATGAAACCAACAAGATGTGCTTTAACTGCAGACTGTCAGCTTTAATTTGAGGGTATTTACATCCAAATCAGGTGAACGGTGTAGGAATTACAACAGTTTGCATATGTGCCTCCCACTTGT